GCGGCGACGGGGGCAACCCCACCGTCTACAACGTGGACAACGGCGTGCTCAACAACGGCTGCTTTGTGGACGCCCTCAACGTGGTGCCGCATGTCTTCTTGCTCTTCATCACCTTCCCTATTCTCTTCATCGGTGAGTGCCCGCCGGGAGACAACTTCGCCTTGCGTGTCCTCCCCGCCTTCGTCCTTGCCTGACCGTGTCCGCCCCGCACCTCCCCCTTCCCCTTTGCCTTTGCCTCGGTGCCCCTTCTGCTGGGGGCGGGGGAGGCGGATCTGCAGGTTTTGCCCAGCAGCGCAGCAAACGAGGGCAAAAGGTGCCATTAAACCCCACAAAACCTGGCAGGCTAGTTGCGCGTTGCTGAAGACTAGCGGTCGCAGCAGCCTGGGTAACGGGGGTTACCGGGAGGTGGCGCTGTGATTTAAAAATACGTGCGCGGCGCTGCGAGGGCTGAAGCGAGGAGCTCCGGGCTGCGCCGGCTGCCTGCAATGCCCCCTGAGCTGCCTTCTCCGTGTGGAAGGCCCAGGCTGAAATAACAGCACAACGGCTCGAGCAAGGCCAGCCGGGGAGCTGCCGAGAGTGCTGCACAATAATCTGTTCATCTGGCTCTTTTCCTTCATTGTTCTTTTTATTCACTAAAACCAATGTTTTCAGCAAGACCTGGAGAATGAGTTATTTTTTTAGTTATCTATAAGATTAATTGAAAATTCTTTAGAGTAATTAAAGGCATAAGTAAGGAAAGCTATAGTTCAATTTCGTATATATCAAAATACTCTTTTAAATATGTCTTACTAAATGTGAAAAGTATCTAATGCATATAATTATTTGATAGCAAGTCACAATAGTATTAGAATTTAAAACTGTGTCCTGCTTTTTTGGTTTTGTTTCATATGAAAAAGGAAGTAACAAAAACAGTTCTGAAGCGATTCAAGCATGTGTGTGTTTAATAACACAGTTGTATGAACATCAGTACTCTGGTTTGTTACATGTGTCCTTCTCTGTATATAGATGCTGAATTTGTCACTTTTTACTGGTCTTTTTTGTTGTTTCTAAGAAAACTTGTTATAATTATCCTTTCCCATTTAGGATGGGGAAGTCAGAGTTCCAAAGTTCATATTCACCATAGTACATGGCTTCATTTTCCTGGCCACAATTTACGCTGGATACTGACTTTCATCCTTTTGTTTGTGCTGGTGTGTGAAATTGCAGAGGGCATAGTATCTGATGGGTAAGTAGAACATATACCTTCTCCTGAGAGCACTGAATATTTTTAAAGGGTTTTACTGTAGGTATTGTCTGCTGGTCAAAATTCTTATCTAAACCATATGTCTTGTTCTTATAAACATGTGATCTGTGTTCTTGGTGATTAACCTACTGACCCTGTATCAGAAATTCCACAGACCTTGCCAAGCATGTACACACACAAATGACCATAATCATTTTTAGTTCAGCTTAATGACACTATCTTTCCAAAGAGTAATCATAGATAAATCTTGATAATTTGAGCAGATGGTGACATTTTCATTGCATGTTTTATGTCTAAAAGACCAGTCCCACAGCCCTTACACAGGCAGAACTCCCATGTGTGTAGTAGGTCATAATGTTCCTCATGAACTAAAACCTTCACATCTTGAAGAAAAGGGTGGATCCCCTGGGCCTTATTATCGTACTACATTGAGTTTCTCCTGAAATAGTATTGGTGTTCCTACAAAATGTCTGGTGAGTTGTCTTCAGCAGAGTAGCTCATTCTGTATCGGTAAAAAGATTTGGCTTCCCCAAAGATAAAATCTGTTAGAGGCATCATTTGATATTGTTGACACTGGTGGTAATTTGATTTGATTTTGTTACTTCTCACAGATTGGGGTTAGGCATTAGAGAGGGGAAAGGGCTGTAATGTTTCTTTATGCATGCTTTGATCCATGACCTGGTATTGAGCTTAGGAATGTCTTTAAATAGTAAGCTATGGGAAAAATTATTCCGAGTGAAAGAAGTGATATAGGAAAATGATTTATAGTGTTATGCAACATTAATTTTTGTCAGTAACTATGATCATTTTTTTTCTACAGGAAAGTCTGATTTTTATAGATTTGCAGCCCAAGGGTTATAAAGTTACAGCTCTATTAAATAAAATGAAATGATAGTCATCTATACAACAGGTGTTCACTATCCAGTGTAATAAGGCACTACAGTATTCTGCTATACAAGCTGACATAATCAGTAGTATTATATTTTCCCTTAAATATGTAACAAATTGGGCATTTCTTAGTGATAGCTTAATTTTTTTTCCTCATATTTATTTGGAGCTATCGGGTTGTACGATGCTCAAAGCAATATCCTGCCTTGAGTTTTGTTTTGTTCTCTTTAGCAATCTCTCCCATTATGTTTATTTGATATTGAAATTGACTCAGAGCATTGCTGTTAAGTGCCACCTGCCAAGAATCAAAGCTTCTAGCTACACTGGGGGAGTGCCAACCCACAGCCGTGTCTCCAGAGCACTCAGCAAGCTGCAGTGAATAAAAAGAGATTTTGAGCTTCCTCCTCACCAGCTTCCTAAGACTCGTGACATGGGTCATGCTGGTAAAGTCCTTTTGACGATGATTGGTTGTTTCTTCTCACTCAAAGTGTCAGATGAGAGCTTTGATAGCACAGGATATCCCATAACTTTTGTAAAAGTAAGAAAAAGGGAGGCAGGAAAGATGACAAATAGGAGGATCCACCTTTACAAGCCATTTGGCTTGTAATCACTGAAAACAGAACTCCCTGTAGAGGAATTCCTGTGCTGTGATGCTGTCTTTCTTCCAAACTGGAAGAAGAAAAGCAAATGATTCCACTAAATGCTTCTGTAGAAAATCTTAAATTTCTGTGCAGTCAGATGATTTTATTTACATATTTTGATGGAAAGCTCCAAAACTAAGGTAGTTTAAGTGAATTTTTCTTCTTCAGGAGCTGAGCTTATTGTCCCTATTTAAACAACATTGCAGTTGATTTCAGTAGGATATAGGACTACACAGATTTCCTTTGCATTTCAGATTTCCCCCCTGTGCTGAAGCGATGTAATTAAGAGCACAAATACAATTGAAAATCAGAAAACTTTTCATATCTGTAAAGGATTTGGAAAACCTAACCTCTGTCCTGTCTGGTGTTCAGTCCACAGATTAAAAGGGAAACACTTAAATAGCTAAGAAAGATTTGAATAGATGTTCTCTGTTCTTTTTCTTTTTCTTTTTTTTTTTCTTTCTTTTTTTTAAGGGTTTCAGAATCCCGTCACTTACACCTGTACATGCCGGCTGGAATGGCGTTCTTGGCAGCCATTACATCTGTTGTTTATTACCATAACATTGAAACATCTAATTTCCCGAAGTTATTAATCGGTATGTCTCATAACTTAGAAAAGTTGAAAGTATGACTGTGTTGATCCTGAATGGCTGTTCCTTCTGTGACAGGTTGTTGCGCTCTTGATTCTAGCTTGTACAGGCACAGTTAAATCTGTGTTCTGGTCCATTGCTTGCCTTTGCCAGATTCCAATCTTGGGGCGTGCAGGGAGTTTCCTTTAAACAGCTCATTCTTTTCAACTTCTAATGGTTTTCAGTATGATGTTTCCAGGAAAAACTAAATTTCGGGGAAAAGTGACATTTGTTAGAGAACGAATCTGTAAGTCTTAAAGCTATCCAAATCCCCTTACTTGTCGCAGCGTTGATTAAAGCACTGTATAAAACTGTAGCCATTTTAAATCCTTCAGAGACCTTAGGATAGAGCGTGTGGTCCCTTCAAATATGCAAGGAGTCAAGGGAAATGAGTGACATCACTGATTCATCATTATGGCTCTGGACAGGTCACTTGGCCTGCTTCTTACTCCTAAAACTGTCTTTATAAACTGCTTTAAGACCTTTTGAATGGAAAATGCTACATATGAACATGTAAATAAGCTGTCAATATGAGTTACAACTCATACTGAAAAGCCAAGATCATCTTTCTTCCAAAGGTCTGATTTTAGTGGTAGAGAATAAAACATCTACAAGAAACTAGGAAAATAATGTCAGATCCTCTAAGTAGGTTTTGTGTTTTCTCACTTGGGACTGGTCTAGTACTCTTAAGTAGAATCTTTTTTTTTTTTTTTTTTTTTTTTTTTTTTTTTTTTTTTTACACCAAGTGGAATCATACAGTCAACTTTTCTGTAAATTAAGAGATTGTGTTTAATGCTTTCTCACACCACTGTATGTTGTGTTTTAGCAAAATACAGGAAAAAAAGGCACTGATTTTGGTTTCTCTCTCTTTTTTTTTTTTTTTTTTTTTT